TCGGATGGCATTCATGCATTTACTCGTCATCCAATTTCGGGTAGACCGGCTCCATTTCGCGTTTTGACGGTGGAACCAGATGCTTAGGCAGTTCGACCGGCAGCTCATGGCCTAAAAAGGCAATTCGATCAAAATAAGTCACATTAAAGGCTAATATGAGGAGACGTCATCTCTAGGAGTGCTATGGTCTTGAAGCGCCCTCAATGTTGCGTCAAAACCATGAAAAGAGATTAACTTATTCCTAACGAGAAGATACTTGGTTGTTACGGTCATTCAGATACCCAAAGCTTAGCTGTGCCTAACTTTGCTATAAGGGCAATACAGTCAAACACAAACCTTCGAGTTTGAGGTTGATCAAATAGTTTGCAAGAGCAAACTCGTCCGCATCCAATTGTCCGTCTCTGTCGACATCGGCCAATTTCCAAATCTTTCCAAGCACCGAATTTGGCAGTTTTGATTTGACCATGTGCTCTTTGGCAACACGCCCTGCAACAGCTTTTCTATTTAACTTGGTCAACATTTGAATTGAGATAAAGTATCGCTGAAACCCTGCAGTTACCAAGATCTTCATAAAAGTCTTTTTAACGACTTTTATGAGTGCATATCATTGCGCTACGAAATGATTATGGTTCAAAAAGAAAACCCCAGGATCGATTGCTTATCAAAACAGAAAGAAATGTAATTCAGGAAGAAATTTTAATGTCACGCACCACTGATATAGCCGTCAACAGGTCCGAGACTTTCGAATGTTGCATCAGCTTGACTCCGCTCACGACTAACCACCCATTCAGGTTCATCAGCGCCCTTGTCAAAACCTTCGCCCTGAAGCAGTAAAATAATCAAATTCTAGATCAAAGCTGTTCTAACGAAACTACGTGGGTATGAATGAGAGCACCAGCAGATGCCAGAAATGAAAAATATCGAATCCGAAACAGGGAAAGGGCTTCCGATGGTCATGGCCATTTAGATATGGGCGTGTGTTACCATATCGGAACCCCAGTCTCTTAGTTGTTTTCTATATCCAAACGACTCCCCTAGATAGGACATGCATCTTCACCCCCAGACCTTCTACACAGGAGGGCTACCAAGTTAAAGTGACCAGGTAGTGGAATCCAGTTCTAGCTAGATCTTTTCCTGAGTCCGATTCGGAAATGCTTCGAATGCAGTTATTTCATGAACACCATTTCCCTGCATGATGACGTTCCAATGAGTTCTTCTCAGATTCGAAGTGTAGCCCCCTTTACTACTAGGCAATAAATCACTGGAACTGGTCTTGATATGTAACCTTCTTTTGATTGACGAAAAGGTAAAGTACTGTTGTTCGACCGTTTGGAACGGCGTTACAGCCCAGTTTCGCCACTTGAATGATAAGAGGCCAAGAGATTCACGAAAAGTGGGTTCCGCACTCTTACCTACGAATAAGAAAGCAAAAAACTGGTAACTATCACCGGTTACTGCGAGTTGCGCCCACAATAATTCGTCTTCGTGTCAGTGTGAACAGTCATTATCTTGTTACATAGTACATTATAATCAAGTGTAACCTTAACTTTGGGCTTTGATCATAAAACTACTGAACTTTTGGTATACCCAAGAGTTAGTGATGAAAGTAAATTGACGAGAACTAAGAAAATGATGAAAGATAAAGAAAAAGAAGCGGTTTCGGCCAAAGAGCAGAATAAACACTTGTATTGGCACTACCGTTTGAAAGTTGAACATAATTCAAGATCATCAATTGGTTGCTTTTTTAGTTACAAGACGAATGTGAGGTGAAATAAGTTTTCAAAACAGCGCAAGTACGTTCGATTTAGTAGCGACACCTCGCGATTGCAGTATGCCAATCTTTTTCCTTGCGAAAGAACAAATTGATCGATGTGAGTCTTATTTCCCCAACAAATATCAACTTTCTTGACAGAAAAAAGGCAAAAATGGTATATATTCGTTGGAAGGAAAAGCTATATAACGCGTCAACACGTCTTCAACGCTATATAACGCGAGCAAGAAGGGAACATGTCATGGAAAAACTTCACATCGTCGTTCAAAGGGGTCTTTTACTCCTAAAAACAGATACAAGCCCTTAAGCCCGAAACGTGAGCTTGTTAGTTCTTAAGGAAAGGTGGAGAATTGTCACGACTACAATATATCTTTGTAGAGTATAATAAGAGTTCTTCACGAGCCATTAAACTCTTGACTCAAACCTCCTTTCCCCTACTCGAGGAAATGCTGTAAAGTTAGGTGAGCGCTACGAGCACTTTCAACCATGATGAAAGTCCTGCGAACTTAGCAGAATCTCTCCAAACAACGGAATCATTACTGAAGACTAGAAATCTTCTGAAAATAAGAGCAACACTGATTTCGCTCACCCGTCCGAATCCGAAGGGAGTTTCGGCTTCTTGAGCTTGACTGAAGGCTCCTCCCTTCACGGTTGGTTGCTCTGCTACATGTCCATTAGTTGTGGCAGCAGCTGTCACCTGAGCCTCTTCCTTCGGTATCTGAGCCATGAGTCGGGCTAAAATAACAAAAAATGAAAATCCAACGAAGCTGTGTAAACTACACAGTTACATGCATTCGATATTTCAAGCCACCATTCGGCCCGAATCCACAAGGAGGTCAATGCTAAACTGTGGGTTGCATACATGCATAGACCGCCTAACTTTGAAGAGAAAGGAGTCAAAGAGAAACAACTCAAAAATATTGAAAATGGCCTTATCAAAGCCAATATAATACAGTACGGATGGACTTAGAAAATTCAAAATAACTAAAAAAACTGTTCTCACCAATATCACTAGCAAGCATTCCGTCAACGATTTCGAGCAATTTCGGTTTTATCGGATTGAATCGAGTGAAGTCTTGTGTTTGCAACCTATCACGCATTTTATTGACATCAGGGAAGTCTCCAGGTGAAATGTTGTGCTCTCGCTAAAACTTTCACATTCAATTTACTCGAAAACAACTAACAAATTTTAAATGTGGAACGGTTACGCACCTGCACTTGTTCGAATATTTTGTCCAAGTTTTGGATAAGCTCCTTCTTCTTCTTTTCTTTGCCAATCATACTTGGCATTTGTTTACGCAATTCGGAAATTATGTAAGCATGAACCTGAAATTTATCTTTATAAAAAATAGAAAATATAGTCGAACCAAAACAGAGCAAACCTTGGCTAGACGCGCCCTCTTGATAAGATCGTTGAGTTTGCGAAGTGCTGCATTACGAGGCAGGGCTTGAAGGTCTTGGAACAGGTCATGCTGCTCATCTTGGAACAAGCGCCTGCAAAAAAATGGCTCAAAAAAGGCTAGAAACAACTAAAGGAAAAACTTGGCGAGGAATCATAATAAAGCGGACCTGTTAATATCATAGTGAAGTGGATGGTCCCAGAAAGTTCCAATGTACACGCGAGAGACTTCGGGAGTTTTGAACACCTTAATAAGAAAATATTGCGTCAGTAGAACAAGATGATCTGAGAGTGCACGAAAAAGTACTAACTTTTCCAAGGGACCACATCAATGCTCCGTAAACACGCATCAGCTGCTGATGATCTACCATGTCGGATTTGTTCAAAACGATACGAATCTTATCTTCGTTTCCTAAAAAGCTACTATTGAGAAAGTTGAATTCTGATGCAGCACTTTTTGTCAACAAAAAAAACAAAATTGAAGAGTTTATGTAGAAACTGACTAAACAGAAGCATCTGATGGTACTTACCACTAAGGGCCTCAATGCATCGTTTGAATTCGTCCGAAATGTCGAGCTTATGAGCATCAAACAGAAGTATGATACGATCCACACGTTCAGCAAACCATTCCAATACTCCAGTGAAGTCGTACCCACGATCGATTCTGAAGATGGAGAAATAGATCTAGTGATGAAAAAGACTTCACAAATCAAGCAACACAGGATAGACCAGGGTCAAGCGTCGTGGTCATTTGAATAAAGCCTTCACCCACTCAGACTCAAGCTAGTTCAAATGCAAGAGAAATTTATTATAAGACATTATTTAGAGGGATTGAAACTCGACTGGTTATTTCATGTGGTGACTAAGCAGCTTGATTAATTACATCCTGACGAGATCGCCTTGTTCAGGACTGGAAAATTTGAGTCGTTTGAGACTTCCCAACCTTCCGCACAGTTATCCGGATGGTTTACCGGAAATTAAATGGTTTGGCCCTATCGGCTCTGAAAGTGTCTATTCCCCCCAAACTGCTCAATCTAATTAGCTCGGACTTCTCAACGGCCCAGTCAAACAGAGCGATCCGAGGCCAAATCCATGCTAAGCCCTGGATAGCGGAATAGTTTTGTAATTTAATCCTCTGTTTTCCTACTTTTAAAAGCCCTCTTTTCGAACATTTTACAACCGTCAATAGCAATTCTTTACCCTACGCATGACCCTGGAATGGACAGACTCCAAATACGTGCACAGAGGTGCGAGCTTGAGAAACAGCTCACAATTCAATGCAGGTTAGATGACAGTAACCAAGACAATTTCGAAACGAAAAGGAGAAACTACAAAAAAAGACCAACAGCGTAAAGGATCTATTTAGTTAGCAGCAAAGCAGTGCTAACAAACTCTAACACACGGCACTTTACCCGCGAATGTACCGCCGAGCGTATGTCGACCTCTCTGATTGCGGACTTGAAAACCAAACTTGGAGATCAGTTCAAAATCAAATGCTTGCAGTGAGCTCAAACTAGGAACCAGTGCACACAATGAGACGGGAAAACAACAAACATGCAATACAAGATGAAGCCCGAAATAAGTACAGCGATTAAACAAAGGGACTCTTTAGAAGCAGGAAATTATTATATAATCTTAGTATTCGCAAAGGAAAACCTCATTGCATACAACTGATTCCAACCAAACGTTTTTACGAAATATTTAAGGTAGTCATTCAACAATCTGTAACCTATTCATACCTTTGCTTTTCGCCAGAGAGTATTCCGGGTGTGTCAACGATGGTTACACTTTCCAGAACTTGATTATTCAAAGTGGAACACTGGAAGCGATTCAGGAACGCATTGCCAAATCTGAAATATACCTGCGTTAATTACTCTATGTAAAGTGATGGCGGAGAATTTCTTTGATCATCAAAGGGATGACGATCGTTCAGGACAACATTTTATGGGAAAGAGCTGAAGGATTACGGTATAAATGAGCGATACTCTGGTTGTATGGGTCATGAATAAATAGATCGGAAGCTATTGTCTAAGGATATTGAGAAAGAGTATGAAACGTAAAAAGTTTCCACAAGGCCCTCGCGCTTTCCTACTCATTCGCTTTCATTTCTCACTCTGACCACATGCGGCATAGAGGTAGGAAAAAGAGGAAAATGTGGAATCAAACCGATACGCAGTTGATCTCAGAAACTAGAGGGTAAACATATACTACTTTACCTCTCACTTATTCGAAGTTGGTCTCAAAACATTGTCATATCAGTGACCAAAGACCAAAAAAGATCAAAATTTAATAGCCTCACAGCTTAAGAGACAATACGGCAGAACGTCTCTAAAGCAATTTAGTTATAGTTCACAGCTTTCACCACAGCCAAAACACAGAACTACCATAATTCTTGGCATACTATACCAACCCTTTTCGGCCATCTACCTCATGGTTACGCCTGCGTGTGTTCCACCCCCCTTACGGTACTCAATGATGACAATTATGGGACAATTGGCCTAGGCTTGTTCCATTCAAATTTATAGGCATCTCAATAGGTCTCAATAAATATCCTTGAATCTGTTCTCGAAAAACACTTGTTTGGGTAGCCCTTTGTGCCTTCCTATTCCCACACTGTTCGACATCTTACGAATATCGCCCCACAAAAGTTAGGATTTTTCACCTTGTGCTCGGAAAATTTGGTTTAATATTTGTCCTGGGCCGATAGTGACTTGTTTTCGTGAATATGATTCTAGATGAACGTTTTCTTACTCATTGTATAAGTTCCTTTGAAATTTTCCTTTCATAATGACAAATAAAGCCTATTTTCAGGCAAATTCGGTGAGGAAATCTGAAGATCAAAACATTTCTATTGCAGGAAGGGGAAGAAAACATAGAAATTGACATATATTTCACTGCATGACACATAAAACAGTAACCTCTTAAACCTTAATCAAGAGCTGCTACTTATCCGCAAATTCCACATTCCCTTGCGCTCAGAGAGTGTGAAGAAATACCTTTTTTTATATAATAAGACAAAACCAAAATAATAACAAATCTTCAGCAGTAAGACTTGCTTTGGAAAAAAAA